GAGTCAGTTGAAGCTAGACCACCATTGAAAACCTGGAAGCACTGCCGGCTCAGTGGTCTAATGGTTAAGTGCTCGCGCGCGAAGCCAGTAGGTCCTGGGTTCGAGCCCCGCGTGGTGCGGGATCGTGGATGCGCACTCCTGAGGAGTCCCATACTAGGACGAAACGGCCGTCCAGTGCTTCCAGGTTTTCAATGGTGGTCTAGCTTCAACTGACTCATGATTTCAATCTGTGAAATTTCTAAAAATCTCCACAAAACCCATTCTGATAATATTAACTATTTTGTTCTAATTTGCAACCCAAAGTGACAAATAAACTCTGAAATGCTGGTGCATCCAGCTGATGGGTTTGAAATAGGACTAAATGCACGTCTTTATTTTCATTGCTCTCCACCATCCATCTCTGCTTATAATATCAGGGCAATCCGCCCTGGATGCATATATGTCAATAAGAGATTCATCAACTACAGTCCTAAACGGCAATGGGGAGATTCAAACAACCAGTACAAAAATGAACCTAAATGCATATAGTACAATTTTTAAACGATGTATTTTACCTTAAATGTGGCCACTTTTTGGGTTGTTATTTTAGATATACATTTGCAGAACCTAAAAGAACTTATTTAATAGAACATTCTTTGTTCATATATCTGTGTTTTAATATGATGTGAATTTTCAGCGATTCAATATTATGTTAACATTTAGTAGTCAGTATACATTTCTTTTTTTAGCTAATAGTCAAAACACTGTGCAGGAAAATGTTTTATTTTTCAAGCTAATATACACAAATTGTCAGTCAAATACTATATTTTACTGTTGAATTAATGAATCAATCTAAGCTAGACCACCACTGTAAACTTCGAAATATTAGACGGTTGTTCCGTCCTAGTATGGGACTCCTCTACTATATTTCATCTCGTGTCATAAGAGGTTATTTAAGTAATCTAAGATATATATGGCAAGTATTAAAATCTCAGACAAACCAAATATAAGTAACCGTGAGATTACTAAAAAAATAATCTTGGCTTTTATTATTATTAAAGCTCAAAACTGATTTCAATAGTTAGGCTTTATCTGATAAAAAAACTATTACCTTTTTCCAATATAAATTGTAGTTATTAGTTCAAATGTCTATATATGGACAAATATATAGAAAGAATAAGAAAACAAGTGTTAACTATAATTAACCACATTCGCATTTAACGAATCTTTACTTTTTAATTATAGTCAATATGCTCACTATCATAATCGTATGAAATATCTTCTTCATTCTATCTATTTCATAGAATCTTTTGTTTCTCAACTAATTTTGACATTGTTATTCTTCTTTTTTCGTGACCTGATAAATTTACTCGTTCTCCTGTAGACCTGATTGCTCTTTATTCTATTGAAAATCCTGCCTGGTTCATGCATATATATATATATATATATATATATATATTATCAGGAGTTTTTGTGGATATTATAGTGATTTAATAGTTGAGTTTATGAGCCAATTGAATCTAGAACAACATGGAAAGCCTGAAACAACTGGATGGTTGTTTCATCTCAGTTCGCGACTCAGCAGTCCACATCCACGATCCTGCTCGCGGGATTCGTACCCAGAACCGTTGGGCTCGAGTGCGAAAGCTCAAACTCTTGGCCATTGAATTGGCATCTAACGACGTTAATGTCTAATTTCAACCAATCTACGAGATTGAGCGACACATCCGCCATTGTCTTCAGTGAGTTACAATGCACGACAGACTCGGTTGAACTCCAGTGGCCATTGCTTCTCACTAGAACTCCAGGAAATACCTTTTGAAGTCCGTCACTAGTGAGCATATGATGATTATTTTCAGAAGGGGTTTTTGTGGATATTATAGTAATTTAATAATTGAGTGCATTAGTCGACTGAAGCTAGAACACCATAGAAAACCTGGGATCACTGTATGTTATACCATTCTAACCATAGCTTTCTGTATTGTTTTGCATAAAAAACGTGATGTCTATACTTTAATTTCTTATATTCAAAGTATATTATTGTTTGAATATACAACAATTATGTATAATAAAGGTCAATTATGTATAATAACTTATCTAGATTGTATGTGGTTGTTAAGAGATCAGTGTAATGAGGTAAATTCAACCATATTTTGAGAATAAAGTTTTAATTGTATTGCGATAAGAATAAGTACGTATCACATTAAAACTATCATCTAAGACAATATAAAATGTTATCCATAGCAAATTAAGAATCTTATGCAAGTTATTGTTCTACGCAGTTGTTTAAAACTTAGCATAAAGATGAGTTATTAAAAAAACAGCAATTTCTAATAAAATATTTCAGTTGAATTCGCAAATTAATCTAATCTAGAACACCATTAAAAACCTGGAAGTACTTGACGGCCGTTTCGTCCTAGTATGGGACTCCTGAGCAGTGTGTATTCACGATCTCGCACGCATTGAATCCTGGCTCAATGGTCTAGAAGTTAAGCGTTCGTGTGAAAAAAGGAAGGACCTGGGTTTGTGTCTTGTGCGTAGGATCGTGTATACATACTGATGAGGTGCTCTATACTAGGATGAAACGGTCATCCAGTGCTTCCAGGTTTTCAGTCGTTGTCTAGCTTAGATAGACTAGTGAATTCAACTGCTAAATTACTAGAATATCCACAAATCCCCTAAATTGGAAATATTTTGGAACAATTACTCAAAGAATTAAAAATAAAAGCATCTGAAAATAAATTACAGTTTAAGAATGCACACGGTTCCTTTCGCTTATGTTTGTAAAACTAAATATTCCAGATTCCTTTATATTGGTGTAGTGAATAGCTCATATAACTTCAAACCACATAGTTTATGATAGATTATGTAATCTTACTGGGTTTATAAGAAAGAAGGCGAGACTCTAATTTATGGACGAGCCAATCAGAGGCGTTTAAGAGATTTCAAGGTTACGGCGCCAACTTCAATGCTTAATGTTAACGTACGATCGGTTCACAGGGAATTTTGTACAAAACATGATAATTGAGCGGCTATAACAAATAAAACGGCGAGACTATAATTTGTGGACGAATCAATCAGGTATAAGATAATAGATCTCGGATTTCATCCATTTGGCTAAATAGATTTCTGGCATTATAGCTGATGTCAGTTCGTGATGAAAACCCCATATATAATCCCTAACTAAGGCAAATTATGACAATTAATGCGAACTGAATAATAAAAGCACCAGTAACACTGGCTGTATCCAGGTACTGAAATATATATAGATGTTTGGAGAGCGTGCAGACTCCTACATAGTCTTGGTTATGTGTATCGTGTCGTTATCCACAAGTAGCATTTTGTGCACTCAACAACCGGAGTGCACATAAACAATATTGAAGCTACATGGTCGAGACTAAAAGAGCTTTTGAAACTTTATCATGACTCCAAAGGCCGACTATTCTGTAGCCATGTGGATGGTTTCCTCTACTGCATGCATTACGATTTTCGAACCTGTGAACCTCTTTCTAACCTTGACAAGTTTTTGAACCACGTATAAGAAGTGTATCGACATTATTTCCTTGGTTTTGTATAATGTATTTCTACTCCATACTGACTGTTTGCTGATTGGCTAATATTTATCAAGGTCATCTAAGATTCGTTCAAAGGTCGTCCATAAATTAGAGTCTCGCCGAAAAGTAAAATATGGAATTACCTAACTCCTTGATCCTACCCAATCATACTTTGAGATTCAAAATATTTCAATCTTTAAAATGGTGTTATATCCTAGCCATAACATATCCATTTCATTATGTTAGTAGCATGAAATGTATTTAGATGATTTAAAAAGTTATCTTTTCAATAACAAACTAATCAAATAATTTAAAACAATAGCCTTTAGACAAAGTTTATGAATAAATTTTCGTAAAAGACGTTTTCTAAAAAAAGATTCAAAGCATGGATCTCATGATTATAGGAGCAATCAGAACATTTATATCTTTCCCATGAACACCTTACTCTTTTGTATACAACTTAAACATTATATCTAATCACAAGTAAATTAGTCAAAAGTTTAATAACTAGGACTAGTAATTTTACTATTATGATTTTTATTGTTAATGTTTAGTATTAGAAATTGAATCCGTTTAGCGATTGGTAATTTGAACTTGTTTTGTTTTGTTGTTGTTGGACGATACCGGATATTATAACATTGGTCAATTCAGCATCGGTACATAAAATATACTTTCACCTACCACTAAAAGGCTAAACATATAGTTATTCATTAGGATTTAATTGATATTAGTTAGTCAACATTAACATACATAACATTTCACAATGTTTTACGGAAATATAAACTATGAAAACTATACTTGTCTATTAAATGCATTCATGTAAATTAATAATTTGATTAATGTTATCAAGGAAATAGGTATTCTTCTGGTTGATGCTCAATAAAACTGATTATATGTTCTATTCGTTTATCGAAATGGTCATACAATGTGAGATAATCTAACATAGGCTCTATCTTTCTCTCCCTATATATATCATCACTGAGAAACTAAAATCACAGCGAGCACAGCAATAATATTAGTAGAAATAATAGACATTATTGTTATATATGTACTGATCTGAAATTGAACATAAATTTTTTATATCTATCAATCCTCTAAATAAGATTATCTTGCATAAGATATAATTATGGTGTTATTTACACAAAATGAAATGCTGATTATATTTATCATTTATGCATAAACCTTTATTATTGACAGTTGTAAACAAATAAAGTTGGAAAATTGATTCGACTTAATTAATTAAGTGTCCATAACTTTATCACATACAGATAAAATAAATTCAGAAGTCATTTATTACTTAGGTTTTTATGTGGTACAGTACAGTACTTACAATTGGATAGAACTAGAAAGGAAAGCTTAGAACAGAGTAGTTTGGAGAATGCTGATCGGCGGTCTATGCTCCACTGAGAGTATCAGGCGTAAGTAATTACGTATATATATACCAGAAAATCATTGAACTAGACTTACTTTATCTCTAATTGTTTGTCTCATATTTTCTCTTTGCTCTTCTAAACCTTCAAATCTTTCTCGACGTTTTTCTTCAGCTGCAATTATTGATGCTTCAAGATCATCATTTGTTGTTGTTGTTGTTAAAGATCCAGCATCTTTGGCAACGTCTAAAAGTTAATTAAAATATTGAATATTGATTATATTTTGTAAAAAATATAAAGATTTAGAAGATAGATAGATGAACCGCGTAAATTATATACCTTAACTAGATTTTCATTCTATATTTGTAATAGTACTTTAAAACCGATAATAATTTTCAATGATGATCAATCAGTGATAAGTTAGTTAAGAACTTTACAGATCTAGATGTTTCCAGAAAAAATAATAGTGAATAATTGCTATAGTAATTTTAAGATCCAAATTCATAAGGGTTTATTATGTTTCAAGCTTTTATCTAATAAGTGAGTAAAAAAAAGTAGGCTGATTTAACGTTACATGATTACGTAGTAATTAGTACTCAATTTCTTAAATCTTATTCAATATTAACCTAGAAACATGAATAAAAATTCATCTGTTAATAGCTTAACTCTGTTAAATATGAGGCATAGAGATATATTTAACAGCTTAAAATGGATAATACCCAGTTACAGTATATTCTTTTGACATTTAATTTTTAAAGTAAATAGATGAATTAGGTTTCCTTCTAATAGATAAAACTTGTGGTAATATAATTAATTATATAAAATCTTTATTTAATCATATTTAACAATAGGGTCGAATATAAATAATATTGGCTAAATATAATGCATGTGATATAACGGTTGGGTTTCCCACGTTTACGCAAATGAAATGTTAATTTCCCTTAGACGAATATCTACACTAGATTCTCTTCCAGTGTTTATTCTACAGGACTTTAACACAACTCAGATCATCAACACGTGATTAGCCTCATTGCAACGTAAATATATTTCCACACCAAAAAACCCGACACAATTCAACAATAATGAACAATCAATAATAGGTAATAATAAGGATAGGGCAATACATAACTCATGTGACACCTTTCAGACTATCTACATGTCTGACTAGCGTTTTTTAGCGAGTTAGTCTTCTACGGGATGGTGTCGCTAACCCCATGCCCAACCCTCCTCCTTTATCCGGGCTTGAGACAGGTAGTAGCCCCCGGAAGGACTCCAGGCGGAGTTATGTCTGATTAGGCAGATAACCGATCATTATCATTCTCGCCCACGTATCAATATGATTAATGAAAAGTTTTATTGACTACAGTCATTGCATTGTTATTAAAAATTAAAAATGAACATACAATTTATAATTAAAAACAAAAAGAATGTTTAATTTTCGGTAAAATCAATTTCATAACTCATTTTAAACAAAAAATGATTTTAAGCAAATATGGATAGTGGCTAGCAGTGGAATCCAGGACACGCGTTTCATCCTATTTATAATACTTGTGAATGAAGACAATATCGAGGCAATCCGCACAGGATGCACATATGCCAATAAGAGACTGATCAATTGTAGTCCTAATCATCAATGGGAAGATTCAAGTAAAACAATACCAAATTGAATTTAAACTTCATCTCATTGCACAAACAAGTGGCTATCAGTATTCAGTAACTAAGTGGATAACGTGATGGCGTTTGAAGCGAACGGTACTGAGTTCAAGTCCCGGAGCGAACATCAACTCTGATATACAGATACATCCATCTGATGAATCCAAAACAGAACGAAACACATCTCTTAGATCCTACTACTGGACACTATTCATCTTTGCTCATAACTGTTTACTTTCGAATTTCATACAAAAACTAAGCTTATAATATGTTTTTATGTGATCCATTAGACATTTTGTGAAACAATTTTTTTTCTTAAGCTATTCAGTTGCATAAAATAATTGTCACTTTATAAACAAAAACTTTATATATTTTTTAGATTAGATAAATCATAGTTATGATTAGGATTTAAGTGAACCAAATTACTGAGGCTTTGTTTTCATTACTCGTTATTGTGATATATATGACCATATTCAACATGTATGTTCTATTATTGTAATAACCTAATAATAAAAAAAAACTTTGTTTGTAAAGAGAATTTGAGTAAATATCTGTAAAATTAATTTTGTCACATTCATATACAAGAGACCCTTATTTAAAAGTAGTAACCGTTTTATTCATTTGTAACAGTGCGAATAAAAATGGATTTCTTAACATATGAAAATACATATTGTTATATGTTATAGTTATCAGTTCAGATGAATCAAATCAAAAAGAGGGAACCATGTTCGAAGATTTGAAGAAAACAAAAACAAATTAAATCATCAATAATAAAATGATTGACAAATGATCTTAACATGAACAGATCAATTTAACAGGCATTTCATAATGGACTCATTAAAATCAGTTGAATATGATGTTTATATTATTTTCAGAATAAAGAAGAAAAAAACATTTGTAAAATGTTGTTTAGAAAAATTATACAAAAAAGTTGTTTATTAGAAGACTTTTGTGAAGATTTTAGAAGTTTCACAGATTGAAATCATGAGTCAATTGAAGCTAGACCAACATGGAAAACCTGGAAGCACTGGATGCGCACTGCTGGGGAGTCCCATACTTAGACGAAACGGCCGTCCAGTGCTTCCAGATTTTCCATGGTGGTCTAGCTTCAATTGACTCATGACTTCAATCTGTGAAATTTCTAAAATCTCCACAAACCCCTTCTGATAATAATCACCTGCTCACTAGTGACTGACTTCAAGAGATACTTCTGGAGTTCTAGTGAGAAGCCGTTACCAGTGGAGTTCAATCAGGTCTGTTGTGAGATATCAGCTCACTGAAGACAGTGGTGTATGGTGGCGTAACCTCATGGGCTGGTTGAGGTTAGACATTAACACCATTTGATGCCGGCTCCCTGGTCTAGTTGGTGATGCCCTTGGCGCGAGACTGATAGGTCCTGGCTTCGAATCTCGAGGGGTGCGGGATCGTGGATGCGCACTGCTGAGGAGTCCCATACTAGAACGAGTTGGCCGTCGAGTGCTTCAAAGTTTTCCATGGTAGTCTAGCTTCAATTGACTCATGATTTCAATCTGTGAAAAAGTTTTTTATCATAAATATCTAAATGAATTAAGTCAACTTAATGTTTTAATGTAAACAAGTAAATGCTTTACAGTTTTATAAGCTTTCGACAACTAAACTGATCAGTACACTAACATTTTCCATTGTTGTTTGTATGGATGTATTTGTTTGTGTACAAGTAGCATTATACATTTAATTGTAAATATATCAACTCATCGTTATTACAAACTGTAATAACAGACGTTACATAAGCTTTTCTATGATTGATTGAAAGAAAAATGAATTTCTCTTTGAAATCAAAAGGAGCATTTATAAAATACGTAGTCTGATTTCGAGATAATTGTGCACTAATTCCAAATTTTGTAGTGAAGGAGAACACAGGTGAGGACAACCGAATTAAATTCAGCACATTACAGAGTTACTTGGTAAAATAGAAAAATCATACTATAATACTTAATTTGCAAAATGTTCAATAATTGTCTCGGACTTCATTGTTCTTGCATTTCTATACTAATTGCTTTCTATTCCCCTTCTTCCTTTCTTGACCTTCCCAATCTTCTGCTGCCAGGCATTACATTCCTGACTCGCATTATATACTACTTATATCAATATAAGTAGCACGCATCACACTTTGAACAAATCAGGAATAACAATATACAAACACTCGTTATGAAGTAAAGTTGGTTTTGGCTAGCGGTGAAATGATGGACATCTGTCTTTTTCTATTTGAAACTCGTTAACTGAATGTTTCTGACTACCTGTATTTATGGTTACATTGAATTAATATCAAAATTCTCGCTCTTATTTTGTTGTTTAAAGCAAAGAATAAAATGTTGTATACTAATAATGAATCCTACTTTATAAAAGAATTAAAGACGATTCAATAAAGAAAACTTTCTTTTTAACGAATTCATTTATCCAAAACTGTACACTGTTATTTATAGTGAAGTTACTTTTTAAAAATAGTAGTCTTTAGTAAAATAGTGAGATTTGTTACATTAAAAGAAAAGTTACTAACAATCATCAAAAGTTTTAAACATTGAACATAACATTATACGTGAGATTATATTTGAATTAGTCTCAGTAATTGAAATTTAAATAATTCCAACGTTTCGTCCAGCTGACTTGTCTGGACTTCTTCAGGGTAATAATCAAAATTAATGTTGTAAAAAGTTTAATGAACAGAAGTACTAAGCTTGTTACAGATAAAGAAGATCAACGAACTGAATTGAATAGAGTTTTGTCTACTCTTAGGGATAACAACTACCCAAAAGAGTTTTTAAAGGAGATTATTAAAAATAAAAGAAAAACTAAACTAGAATGTATAAGAAAATTTTGGAAGTACACCGTAGTCATATCATACCGTAATGAAACGTCAGAAGAAATCAAGCGGATTCTAAACAAACATGATATAAGAGTGTATTTTGGGGCGAGTAACACTTTAAGATCGACAATAGTGAAAGTTAAGGACAGGCTACCGAAGGAAGAACAACAGAATATTGTGTATGAGATCAACTGTCATGATTGTAATGCTACCTATGTTGGAGAAACACTAGACAGTTGAATGTAAGATTGAAGGAACACAAACAATGTTTAAAGAATGTTCCCAAATCGTCGGTTGATTTGAAGAAACTTGAGAATAAGTCTGCGATAGCGTTACATGCGTTAGGAACAGAACACAAGATTAGTTTTGAAGGGACCAAAATACTTCAGAAAGGTTTTAACATCCATAAAGAAAGATTGACAACAGAAGCGCTGCATATATAGGCGAACAAGAATAGCCTGAACCGAAAAGATGGTATTCAACTGGCGACTACCTGGAAAATTTCGTTTGACAAGTAATTTGAAACCCTATCTTTATTCAACCTGTTTATTCCACATGCATCGTTATGTTGACTGATTTTAATGAGTTTTTAGCAATACAATTAAGTATTTGTTTGACATGTACATCGATGATTCATTAACAGTTTTATCAACCTTGGACTTGCACTTTTATTTATTTATTCCTTCATATATAACATATCAACACAGAACATCAATAATTAATCTCATACATACATACATACATACACACT